ATCTCTAAGATCCTCATTTGAGAAGACACTATTAGGACATACATTCCACAATCCCATTTTGAAAATGTGTAGGTGTTCTTCATGTTATGGTATGAGTAATGAACACCTTATGAGCCTATTCATGTCTGCATGTTATACTGTTACTGGAAACTAGAAGACCTACAAAACCCAATGTTTTTCAGTGTTGCAACTACATGAACTGAGTGGTCATCAATGGAAACCAAAATCATTGTTTAACAATAGCCATTGCTGCAACAATGGTAACCAAGGTCACTGTTGAGGCACTTACAATGAGAACAAGAACCACTATTGCCTCACATGGACCTCAGATCATGCAAGTGAAACACTGACCTAGGACAATGTTGCCTTTCTTACTCTTTTCAGTTATGAGTGATCAACATCCATAGTTCCCTTTAAATGTGGCTATCAATGAGGTAACCTGATGATGTCACTGTCTGTGATGTGGTGTGAAGACCATGTTCAGAATTTCAGCATACTCCAAAGAATACACCTTTCCAATCTTAATTTATGGACATATTATTATACCATGTACATCCAATCTGCCATGTTTGATGCTCCATCCGTTCAATTATATTTAGTGCTTTCACAACTCAACTATTTATGCATACAAAAAAGTTACAGAACAGATGGGAGAACTCTGGCAAGCAAGCTTTTATAAAACTTTTACATAAAAATCCTAAATTTACCTTAAAACTGACATTATGTTCCATATTGTTCAGTGAGTTAACCCACTTCAATGTTAAACATAAGATAAAAATTTCATTAGCCACACCTTATACATAATTGTATCACCTTATAAGTTTCAACCTTCATAGGCCATCTTCAGGCACTCAGCTAGACAATATAGATTACCAAAGGTACAAAGAAGTCCCCAAGATGGCCTATGAAGGCCAAAAGATGTACAGCAATGAACATGTACAAATAGATAATAAAAGTTGTATCTAATGGATTAAAACTTAGGTGAATTTATCTTTGCATCTTCATTTCATAATGACCAATCAGCACTACTAATAAAGCCTACACAGAAATAAATAACTATTGAGTAACATCACTTCATCATGCCAATGTTGGTTTTATGAGCCGTAATGCTGTGGACTTGCATGCAGGTAGATACCAACATCTAAGAGTCATGAGAACCTTAAATCTCATATAATTTCACCAGATCAGAGAAATTTTGTGAGTGACAAATGTGTCATGTGACTAGATAAACCATTTTTAACTCTGGGAGCCTAATAAATTGAATTTTAGAGAATTACAGTTATTGACAATATAAAATGATCCATGTACTTCCTAAAATAAATTAATACATCTTGGTACACGTATAATTTCATTTTATTTTTACTACAGCAGAAAATAATTTGATTTCAGGGTGTCTGCCAACATTTTGGGGTAATACCTAATTAAGAATAGAAGATAAATTGTGCAGAGGCAATGAATGGGCTTGTCACTCACTACTCAAAAATGCACTTCAAGACTAATAAGGACAAGTTGCTTTGAGCAACTGTCCCGTAATGGGCCAACGGCCCAATCCATGTAGTGGAAATGAATAAATGAAAGAACAGAAGAAAGTTCTAAGAAATTTTGAAATTTTCTATAAAAGAAAGAAGCATTTAGAATATAATATTAAAGTTCATTTATAATACAAATAAAGGAGAAACTCAGTATTATCAATTTCATTTATGAATAATATGGTCAAGTTCATTACTATCAGGCAGTGGAAGTATCCATTAACTTTTAACTTACATCTGAAAATCAGCATTCAATGAAGAATCATTCTCCCCTTAATAGTCTAGCCTCTGTAACAGCATGCAGCATAATGAGAATGTATGGAATGTTTCTCAAGGGTCATGTTAAAACACAATAGTGCATATTTACCCTGTAACACCTCAAACAAATTGCTATAACCTGATGACAGATATATGATAAAGCATATCCTTAATTTTGATTCATTTACTTACAAACTGGAGAAATTGTTTTAAGAATATAAAAACTGAATAGAATACTATAGTAATGTCAAACTATAAGATACTAATATCTAATAACAGATTAATGAAAACATTTAGAAAAAGCAGAGGATGAAAGTTTGCATTGCAGTCACAGTGATGTGAGTGGGGGTTCAGGTTTACCTAGACATTTGTCATCGTCGTCATCATCATAACACCCCTTGGAATGTCTACAGGTTACATAAAACTGCTCTTCTTATTGATATAAAAATAATGGATCATAAAATTCAGAGAATAAGCTATCTACTGAACACCAACAAAAGCACTAGTGACAAAACCCCATGTTTGGAACTGTCTGACTTCACCCCATTTGGGGAGGGGGGGGGTGTCCAAATGTCTGCTTTGTGTGAGCTGTTTCAGGCACATATTTACAGCACTCATCACACTGTCAAATGGCATGAAGATGTAACTTGGAAAGATGTCCACAGAAACTCATTAAATGCTTAAATCTGCATTTAGACAATAAAATCACACCTACACCCAAACAGATAAGTGGTTTTCTAAATTTTAAAGGAAACTACTTCTAAAAGTAACACAAAAACATCAACCGTCATCATTCCACACTACACAAAAATTATGTTCACTATAAATTTTATATTTACTGAGTCAATCAGGTATATCTGAATATTCTGAAATGTCTAACATAAACTTTAATGGAAATGGCCTCACAATAAAAAGTCAGGTTCATAGCATCACATCATAACAAAGCACCATGCCACTCAGCCCTCTCTATAAGGGAAGTTTTAATGAATCATATTACACAGGTTCCTTATGCACTTTTTTTCACCAGATATAGCACCTAGCAACTTTCTTCTGGTCCCCAAACTGAAAAATATCCAGGATATGTCAATGGTCAACCAAAGATATAAATAAACCAAAAATAGCAGAAAAGTAATTAGATATGAAATAATAATACTGAAATTATTCAACAATGTTGATGTTCTTCTGGCTCGTGATGACATGGACTTGCATGTAGATACCAGTATTTCTCTGAAATGTTGGAATTTACCTACAAGTTCATATGACATCACAAACCAGATGATCAACATCTTCACTGCCATGAGAACATCAGATCTCATATTATTCTACCACAGCAACACAAAATGTATATTATTATGTTTTTAGAATTACTTTAGAATTATACATTTTGTAACACATCCTTGTGGGAACTGAACAACACCTTACATTAAACGCTCAAGAACTTCAAGATGAGCATAACCATTGAAATCATTGTATTCAGTAAGAATGATATTACTTTGAATGGGACAAACTGGAAGAACAGATATGAAAAAGTCTTTATCATTCCCCATCAATAATGAGAGAGAGACTCTGAATTTTATGATCAACCATCATATCAAACCTACATTTCAGATGAAATTAAATGCATTACGGCTGGATGTCTCCCTACCAGCCTCTTTCAGCTAAGCATGATAAAATATACTAAGAGTCTAAAAAGCAAAACTAAATACGGTGTGAATATACAACCTTAACTAGCTGCTACTTTAATGAAAGGCTAAAAAACATTTTGTAAGGTACACATCTGACATTTTCAGATAAAGAACCCCTTAGGTGGATAAAGAAACACAGCCAAACACCAATACTGCACTTGCACTGCACTCACAAAAACCTCAAAACAGAAATTTCCTATGTAATTTCAAATGGAATCCCCTGGTAAAACACCACTTCAGCTAGCCACCATCCACCAACCAACATACACTACACAAACACAGTTTGAATACAATCAAGTGGTCACAAAAAGGAAGTTAGCTTGTAAACAGATACAGGTGTGTACAGTATGATCAGCTGTAATCCAGGTCTCATGCTAGCTCAACCAAGGGGTCCAACATGTATTGGATGCCCCCCCCACTTAGTTTTACCTGAAGATGAAAGCAGAATGCAGCTTCCAAAATGTTGTGATTTTATTATTTTGATTCAAATTCCAAGGAACAATTTTACCCCATTGCCAGAAACCTTTAAATTTCACAATCCCGTGTGTTTGTCAGATATCAGTGTAGATGTAAACAGCTGTGTGTGCCTACAAAGAACAATATTCTAACTCAAGTCAGTGAAGTATGTTATTATCAAGCACTGAAGTTCCTCGATTTTTAAGGTGACCTTCTTTTCACATTTTATAATTTCTGAAATCAGGTTGCATCTTACATGTGATGGTGTCCAAGAATCGATATAGAAAAATTATACTATATGACTAACGCACAAGAAAAATCTTCATGTCCATAGCACTAGACATGGGACAGCAAAGACAGAAACAAAGAAGATTCTGAAACTATTAAAACAAACAAGGTTTATGTATGAATACTAACAATTTATATTGTATTGTACATATTTTTGTCCTGAAAATCTACGACTACAATCGATAGCATCTTAAAATTGAGAAAATACAGTATATCTCCATTTTATGGTATAAATGAATCACTTGGTGCTGTACTGGAGATATTC